CAATTATTTTCGGTCGGACACACTTCCCCTTCCTCGGCACCTCCGAGCGCGTAAGCAGGGGCAAGCGGCCTCCCGCAACAGAGAAGGGCCGAGCGCGGACCGCTGGGGGCACCCGTCTCCCCCCCACGGACGCCGGACGTCCGGTCCCACGTCCTCCGCCCAGAGTGGCGTCTTCTCCCAGGGGACGGGCGGGAGGGGAGTTTAGGTGTGCAGGCGAAGGGATAAGTGATGACAAGAGGAAGGGTGCCGAGGCGGCACAGGACACACGCTGCGGCGGCACGCTCCCAGGGGCGTCCGCGGGGAGGGCGGGCGTCTCCTGCGTGGAAGTGGGTGCACTGGTGTCCACCCCCCGGTGGCTCTGATTTCCCAAACCGCCACGTAGACAGGACACCTGCCCCGGGAATGCACCTGCAGCCGGTTCCCGAGGACCCACGCAGGTTGCACGCCGACACTGAGGCACAGGGACTGGGGGGCAGGGGAGAAGAAACGTGGGCAGGGGTGGGCGGCGCCAGGGGCTCTGTGCGGTGCTGGCAGGAAACCATGTCCACTGCAGTGGGGCCCGAACGCTGCCACGTGGGCCGCTGCAAAGGCCAGCCCCGCACGGTGACACAGACCAGCCCCCAAGGCCCCGGGCGAGGGCACGCACGGGGGTGCCGAGACCGCCTTGCTGTGTGCTAGCAACGTCCCAGCCCCGATTCACTCACGACCCCTGAGGCCTGGAGGCAGCAAGAGCACCTGGCAGGCAGGCAGGCATGCACACAGACACACACACACACACCTGTTCGTACCCACACCCGAGCTAACGACCCTTCCACTTGACACGGGTGCACGAAGGAGCTTGGGGACCTCTCCTTGTGGTCACGACGCGTGTCCTAACCCTGGAGCCAGAGCCCCGCCTGGCCGCTCCGGTCCCGGCTCCCCGGGTGACGACCAGCTATGTGGTGTGAGCCACACACTCACAGGCTCAGGGCCCTGAGCCCCGGCCCCGCAGACAGCCGATGGCCCCTCCGTGAGCCCCTAAAACCCAGTCAGAGCTGCCCACTGCGTCTCCCCACTTAGAGTCGATGTTTTAAGTGTGTGCTTAAATGGTATCAATAGCAATTAGAGAAGGGACTCAGATTCCACTGCAGATGGAGTTAATTGTTAGGGCATCGATCTCCCGCACGTGCCCCCCTCCCCGAATCACACCCGCACTGCGGGGCCGGGGCCAGGGCGGGGGGCGGGGCACCCTCTCCCCTCCTGCGACAATAAATTTCTTTATCGAATGCACTGGAAAAAATGGCAGTTGTTGCAGAATCCATCCAAAAAGGTTTTTTCCCTCTTCCTAGGAGTAATTAAAAGATGCTTTCCTTGACTAATGGCCCCCAGTTTGGGAGTGGGAAGTCAATACGGCCTGGCCGCCGTCAGCCGCGATTGATCGTGACGCTGACTGCCCGGCCGGCAGTTCTCGGGGTGGCTGAGATCCGCTGGAACCAATCAGGGGCCGGCCGAGGCCGCCCTCATCGGGGGCAGGGGAAGCCGGCACCGGGCTGGCCAGCCTTGCGGTGGAGGCACCCGCGGAGCCAGGTACACCGGTCCTGCGGTGGTTTCCGGGGACTGGCCGCTTCTTTGGAGCGGGATGTGCGGCGTCCTCCATCCCCACGGGCCCCAGTCTGTGTGTGTGTGTGTGTGCGCGCGTGCACGAGCATGTGTGCGGGAGGGGAGGAAAGCCGATTTCTGATTACGCTCCACTGTCAGAATGAATCTCCCCAACAAGCTGGAACAGACAAGAGCTGCTTGGGAAAACAGCTGGGCCCCCTTTCAAAGAATCAGACTGGGTGTATTGTGCTGGGCTTTTCCTGGGCTGGAGAGGCCAATTTACCGAAATACTTCTTTTTAGGGCTACCTTGGGGCCCCATGAAAAGACCCCTCCAGCTGTGTGCACCACCCAGCACAGGCTCGGGGGAGGGGGGGCATGGGCGTGGGATCCAAGCCAGACGCCCGGCTCCCACATCGCAGACCCAAGCCCACGTGGAAACGCCAGCCCACACCTCACGCCCCCACTTCCACCTGCAGCAGCTGCAGGCAGCGGTGGGGGGGGGGGGGTGCTGGAGGGACTGTGGTTTTGCACCACGAGGTCCAAGGCTTCCCACCGGTCACAGTGTGTGGAGGGACGGCGCGTTCCCCCAGGACCACGGCCTGCTCTCCTCGTCCCCACCCCTCCCAGGGGTGCCGCTGGTGGCCCTCGGTCCTCTGGGGAAGAGCGGACAGAACACGCACGGACACACAGAGAAGAGACCAAGGGCTCCCCTACCCGCCTTTGCGGGTGCTCTGGCGCACCCCCACCCCGAGACAGGCTGCAGCTTAGTTTGGGCACCCCACCCCCGTGGGCGAGGACCACCCCCTCCATTTCCCCACCTACCCCACGGGCCCCAGGGCTGCCACGCCCCTGTCTTTGCCTAGGGCACTCGCCACCCCCAGGCCCGGACACCACCCCGCGACTCAAAGCCCAGCTGGGGTGCGGTTCCTGCGGCGAGGCTTCCCCAGGGCACTGCGGCCGTGAGAACCGCTCCGCCCTGTGGCTGCGCCCAGGCCCCGCCCCCTCGGCGGGCCGAGAGCACGCCGCTGCGGGGCTGTGACCCGCCTTCCCGCTCCTCTTCCGGGAGGCGGCGCTCAGTGAGCCTCCGCCGGACTTAACTGAAGACGGAGCTCCCTGGGAGGGCGACCAGAGGCACAAGGAACCTTCAGTCCTCCCGTGTGTTTCTCTTCGGCTCGACGTAGGGCTTCCCGACACCGGAAGTGACCCTCGGAAACACCGGGTGACCGCGCCGCCGCCCCCGTCGCCCCGGAGAGGAGAGCGGACTCAGCGGGGCTTTGGCGGACGCATGTGAGCGGAGGGCCGGCGGGACGGAGAGGCCGTCCCTCCACGCGTGGGAAAGGGGCGCTGTGCGCGCTCTCTCTAAAACACCAAGGCCCCGGGTGGGAGAGGGCGGACGCACGCGGGGGCCCGCTCGCGTGCACGGCCTGGAACACACGACACCGGCCCACGGTCCTCGCTCCTGAGTGGAGGCGACATTGATGTAAAGTAGTTACCATAAAAAACAAACAAAAACAAACCCACACCGCTGTTTCCAACCATTCTAAACGCTCCTGATTATAACATGAAAAAAAATAAACTTTTCTAATTCACGAAATTGGCCATGGTATACATGCTTCCTTTATACATAAGTACTAAAATGCATCAGGTCAGTTTTTTCTGACGTGTTTTTTTTTATCCTCACTCAAGGACATTTCTTGACTGCTTTTAGAGAGGAAAAGAGACAGAAACATCGATGTGAGAGAGAAACATCCATCAGTTGCCTCCTGTACACGCCTGGAAAGGGGATCAACCGGCAACCTAGGTCTGTGCCCTGATCGGGAATTGAACCCACAAACGATCAGCTACAGGATGATGCTCCAACCAGCTGAGCCACACTGGCCAGGGGTCTGATGCCTTTTAATTGCTTTAAGATTTTGTTTATTTATTTTAGAGAGAGGGGAAGGGAGGGGGAAAGACAGGGAGAGAAACATCAAGGTGTGGTTGCCTCTCATGCGCCCCCTACTGGGGACCTAGCCTGCATCCCAGGCCTGTGCCCTGACTGGGAATCAAACCAGCAACACTCTGGTTCTCAGGGCGGCGCTCAATCCACTGAACCACACCAGCCGGGGCTGGTTGCTGTTTCCTGTACTCATACATTATACTCAATGCAATTTCCACTTGGTTTACACATTCAGACCTAAACACTTTCCAAAGAAACTATTTTAAAAAACGGGTATCAAAACAAGCCTTAATCTCTTAAGAATGCTCCTAGTTGGTGACCCAGCCGATCTCTACATTAGTCTTAAACGAGTCACAGTGAAAGTTTTTTTAAGGCGCCCCCTTTGTTCAGTTCATGAGACAGTCGCCCATCTGCACCGCGTGCCGTAGCTGGCACGCCAAGAGCTCACACACAGACTCCTCGGCGGGAGACAGACGCCCCGGTGCCCGTCTCCCTCCCACAGGGCACCCGAGGTGGGGAGTGGGGTTGGGCCCACGCCAGACTCATGCTCGCGAGTGAACCGAAGGTGGCACCAGAAGTTCGCTTTCCAGTGGCAATGGACTCGGCCCGGCCGCTGCCCCAGCGTCACCCCTCACACGCGGCCCAACCACGGCTGCCGCTTGGCCTCCTGCCTGGTCTGACCGCCGGCAACACCGGCCGGAGAAATGCACCGAGGGCCCGTGCTGGGAGACCCGTGGCCCCCCGCCGTCTCTCCACATGCCTGAGAAGTGAATGCGGATGATGATCCCACACCCCACTTCGGAACCAGGGATGCAGCCTGAGCCCCCTGCTTGGGACACCCCTGGAGGCAGACGGGCCCGTCCGGCCTCTGGAAACCAGGCTTCCCCAGAAGGCACGCTGTTTCAGCACCGCTTCGTGCGCTCGGTGCACACGTGGTCTCGAAACCAGCCTGTGCCAGCAGCACGTGAAAAACCAAAGACTAAACGGCCTCAGGGTAAACGCACAACTAACATTAATGGGGGGGAGGGTCACTGTGCGTTATATGCCAATCTTGGTTGGTTCCCCGTGTTAGAAATATATTTTAGGAAATAAATTGTTTTGTTAGCACTCACTCATTCTCTGTGTGTATACCAATCGAGGAAATGCTTGTATCAAAGATCTAAGAATAAGAAATTGGAAGAATCAAAACTCCGTAATTGGTGTTAACAGTGCAGCTTACGCCTATTAGAAGTGCGTTAATTAACGGCGATGTATTCACAAGGTCAGAAGCCTAATGCATTTCTGGGATGGGGCGAGGAATCCCCCAGGTGTAAAAAGCAGCACAGAAATGGAGGAGCCTGAATTGCCCGGCCCGGCCCGATTTTAAACACAGGCCTGGCTGCGCTGGTCTGGCCGGCGCTCCTACAGCGCCGGGCCGTTCTGATGGTGGCCGTCCAGCGGTGGCCGCAGGCCCTGAGGCCACGCCCCTTCCCGAGCGCCTACCTGGTGGAGTCCAGCGAGGGCTTCGCCCGCCCCTGGCAGTTCTCCTCCCAGACGCCGTTGGCCAGCTCGTTCCCGATGGACAGCATCACCTTGATGAGCTCCACGGGCCAGTCGTCCAGGTCCAGCGACCGGACCCGGGACAGGTGGGTGCCGAGGTTGCGGTGGATGCCCGAGCACTCGATGCACATGAGGGCGCCCAGGTTCAAGCTCGCCCAGTTGGGGTCTGTGGGGAGAGGAGCAAGTGCCACACATGGTCAGACGGCACCCAGGAGGGCCACCGCCCACCCTGGGCCCCGGCGGCAAACCACGGTCGCGCAGCCTTTGCCATCAGACTCCCTCCCTCCGGTCCCACGGCCCGAAGACGCTCCCCGGTCAGGACTGGTTGCTGTCTGGGGGGTCCGGAGAAGTCGAACGTGTGGTGGCCTCGGCTGAAGCAGAGCCCTGGAGTGTCCCAAATGAGACACGATTGGGCTCACTGGTTTGGACAGAGATGCACTTGCCGACACAGCTCCAGCAGCAATGTTCTCGAGAGGAGAGACACACATGGAAAAGACACACGTGGAAAAGTCACACATGACTTGGTGTCCGGTACGGATAGCCGCTGGTGAAGGGCAGCCCGGTCGTTGCCACAGCTGGGACGCCCCTCACAGCCGCCTCCGCACCTGGGGGCACACCTGAGTTTTCATCAGGCCTGGGGCGGGCCACTGGTAGATTTCAAAGACAACAGGGAGGCACCCCATGATGAAAGACTACGGTTTCCAGCGACCTCACTTAAGGAGTGCCCCCTGACGCCCTCCCGGTGTGGCAGGTCCTTGGTGGGGCCCCACCCCGAGCCACTGGCCCCGACCCGCAACATAAATGGGAAGGGGCTTTCGTGACACTGCGCTGAGGATGACAAGTGCGTTCAGAGAAGACCCAGGACCCAGGGCTGGCCTCACGCTGGACCCTACAGCTGATGCACAGGTGTGGGGCCGGGAATGACAGGTACAGCGGCTTCTACACCGACATTTGCTCCAGGTGCACCCGAAGGGTCAGCGACAACAAAACAGGGAGATGACGTCGTTTCCACTCGGAATCAGCCTGCAGATGGCCAAGGACCAGGAACGGCAGGGCGCGAACCCGTCAGAAACCAGCCTGCCCCGTGTTCCACGTCTCGTCCCTACCCAGGAAGGTGGGCGCCAGACCGGGCAGCTGTGGCCACAGGGACGACCCGGGTGGGAAGAAAAAGCAAATGCCCCAAATACAAGTAATTAAACAAACAAGGAAACGCTCGTTAAACGTTAGAGCGCACAGTCAGAAGAACCGAGGCGTGGGCTGCACGGAGAGGACACACGGAGCGGGCCTGGCCTGGGGCCTCGCGGGGTATTTTGGGAAGGGGTGGTCTGGCAGACAGTCTGTGGACTGTCTGCCAGACCACCCCAGGGCCGTGTGCAGCCCATCCCATCCCATCCCACCCCTACTCAACACCCACAGGTGGCCACCCTCGGCCATTTGGGTCAAGTGCAAAGACTCTATCGGCACGATCAGAACCGGGATTCCCGTTACTTCTGCTCTCAGGAGCCCCCCCGGGCGTGCCTTCCCTCTGCCGGGTTGAGCTCCCCGCTGCTGCTGCAGCCGCCTCGGCCGAGAACCTCCTTCCTGGGGGCGGTCCCTGTCCCCAAGTGCAGGAAGCCCCGCTGCTGGGTGACACCAAGGCAGCCTGCTCACCGCCTCACGGAGACCCCTGCCCGAACCATGCCTCCACTCAGGCTGCCTTCCCAGTCTGTGTGCCCACCACACCTTCCCTGGACCCCAGGGCCCCCTCAACACCGGCTGTCCAGGAGAGGAACGGGTGGGCTGAGGGGAGGGTTGGGGCGGGGGAAGAAGTGCGAGGAAGCGTGGGGGTCCTGAGCAGAGGCAGAAGCAGAGCCGGTGCGGGGAGAGTGCATGGGAAAGCAGGGCGGGGAGGGGAGAAGGCTCGTGGGGACAGCACCAGGCTCACGGTGACAGCGGTCAGTGCCCAGGCCGCCCCCTCCCCCCCATGGCAGGCAGCTGCTGGAAACGTGCGGGACTGCGCCCAGGGACAGGCGTCTTCAAGGCCAAGGACAGGCCCTGAGAGAGGCGCAGAGCTGCCGCCTGCACCGGCGAGCGAGGGCGGTCAGGTCCCCCACGGCCCTGAGAGCTCCCGAGAGGCTCCAGCAAGCCCAGCGCCAAGTCACCTCTGCGGCTAAGTTCCGTGCCGCACTCACCTTTCCCCTCTGCCCCCGCACGCCGACCCCATGGAGGGCTGTGCTCAGTGCTTCCACACCCCTCCACACCCAAATACCCCTCTGTCGCTGGTGTATTTGGACCCCTATGTCACTCACCTGAACTGTTGCGAGAACCCCTTGCGGGTTCCGAAGCCCTCCCCCTCCCCCCCAGTCACCTTGGGGTCGCAGCAACCCTAGACCTTGCAGCACTGCTGCTGCCGCTCCCCTAGGAGCTTGAGCCGCTCTGAGGCTGGGCCGGGTGCCAGGCCTGAACGGTGACAGCCGCGCCCAGGACACGACCCACCGGTCTCCGAGCCAAAGACGTCAGACGTGGGCCCGTGCACTTCGGCTGGGGCCATCCCCCCGCCCGCCACGTAGAGCGCCCACTTACTCTGGGTCTCGCAGTCCACGCAGTGAGAGTTCCCGCGGAGGCTCCGTATCGACTGCAGGGCCATGGCCTCGCTCTGGCTCGTCAGCCGGGACTGGACGTGGGGGAGACACACAGACGCCAGCGATGAGAACCCCGGGGAAACCCACGCGGCCCCTTGCAACACCAGGGCCGAAGTGAACCGACTGCGGGCGAGCTCGGCGGGAGGACGGTTCCAAACTCTCGCCCTCTTCTGCGGTCCGCAGGATAAAGTGTAACCGACCGGCATGCACCGCGAGGGGGCGCCCCGTGTCCGATTCACCGGGTGAGAACGGCCCTGCCAGAGGCGGGAACAGGGCTCTGCCCGGTCCCGCCTGAACGGCCACGGACACACCACCGCCTGGGCGACGCCACCGGTTCAGGCACTTCTACTGCCGTGCGTCTACCCGGCGTGAAGAGTAAAGGAGAAACGAATTTTCTGCCGATAAGCGAAGGGCAAGACTTCGCTGGCGCTCTGAAGACAGGTCTGTCTCCCAGCCAGGAGACCACGCCCACCCCACGCTTCCGGGATGCGGTTGGAGACGTTCTCAGTTGCCATCACAACGACGTCCCTGGCGGGCGTGAGGCGGGGCGGGGCGGGGCGGGGCGGGGTGGGGTGGGGTGAGTGCGGCCGGGCGTGGCCACGCGGGCATCCGTACTTGGGTGTCCGAGCAAGTTCAGAACTTACGGGAGGAGGAAAGGAACTTGATAAGCTACAAACTAGGATGTAATCATCATCACCGTGAAGTTTTGGTAACCTTTTGGTAACTGTTCTTGCAGCCTTTCTCTAAGCATAGCTATACGCACGTAAGTACGTCTTAAGAAGGCAGTGAACTGTAAGTTGCTTTGAATCCCGCCTTTTAGCTTAGTAAGATGTCATCTCTCGCTGCCATCCTGTTTTCTCCGGCGTCACCGTTTTAACCGCTGCACACTACTCCACTTCCGATGCCTTGTTTACACGTCCCGATTTCCCTCCGTTGTACCCAGCGCCGGAGCTCCGCACGAGCCCAGGGGTGTTAACACTCGGGAGAAACTGCGGGTGCTCGAGGTGTGAGGGGAAAGGGCGTGCACCATTTTTAAGGCTGACCCTGCATGCGTTTAATATACTGGGTGAAACCAAATAGATTTCAGGGGCCATGTGGAATAAGCTTGATTTTTGTTAAGAATTCTTCATAAACTGAACTATGTCATGTTAGCTGTTTGATGTGAAACACTTTGTTGCACACCACTACTGATATAACTTGTAATGCATGGCTGGGGTCTCACGCCCTTCGGTTACATAACCCAAGTACTCAGAGTGGGTTTGACAGTTTCCACTGGCCCCTGGAGTGGGTGCGCGCGTGTGTGCAGGGATGTGTCCGGCCGTCCCTGTCCACCTGGTCATCGCGGCAGCGTACGGGTGGATGTGTGTGCCCACCCTGCTGCCAACCGGATCATCCGGAGGCAGCTCACGTGCCTCGTGGCTCGTCCTCACCTAGTCAGTATTTTGCCCTCGAGCTATTCATTCCTTGTGGGTGTTACTCCCTTGCACACACCCTCGCACCTGCGCGGCCACACCCCGGGGGGACGGGGCGGGGGGGCGCCCGCTCCCTCAGTGCCCGGTGCGTCCGCCCAGGTCAGCGACCCGACTCGCAGGACCAAAGGGGCGGCGTCTGAAAGCTGGTGCTTGTGTCGGACCCGAGGGTGAGGCCGAGAGTTTCACGGGCAGTGGAAGAGCCTGGCGAGGCGTGAGGGGGAAAAGGCTGACACGCTTCCAGATGCTTCTGAACCCGGTCACATGGCCTGGCTTCAGTCTGACCCGGGCCACCGCGATTTTACACCAGGTCCAGAGATGTGTTTGCCTGCTCGGCAGCACGGCCCTGCCCGCCCGTTCTGCGACTACCTCCCCACATGCGGCGGGTGACGCCGCGGAGGTTCCCCACGGGCGAGGGGGCTGGGAGCTCCGGGAGCCACGGCTGTGGCTGTGGGATTCGTGCGGCCGAGGCGCTTGGCAATGAAAGGCAGCGCTTCTGCCCACCTTGGGTATAAAACCGCTTTTAAAAAGAAGCAAATTACATTATAATAATAATGACTGCGGTCTGGTTTACCCTGGTTAAAGAGGGTAATAAAATAAGATACTCCATCTTTCTGAGAGACAGGTTCCCTTCTTAATGACAAAGCTGAACATAAATCACGGGCAGGAATTTCTTTAAATTGTTACAAATGAAACTGTGGGTTGGTGGGCAACATTCTTTCTCCAGTTTTGAGTTGACTCTAGTTTGAAAACGCTCTCCAAGACTCTAAAATGTCCCAGAAATGGGGCCAAAAACATCCAAGCATTAAAATAATGGATTTGAAGGAACCCCTGATGGGAAGAAGGGGAAAAACGCCGTTGCATAAGGAACGTACGCTGGGCATTTTCTGACGCAGCTGAAAGTCGCTCTGTCTCCCTGGCTGGGCAGTGTTAAGTAGCGGGCTCTCACTGCTGGACAAAACACAACGAGACTTGCTGGCAGAGTGTGGAAAGCGAACACCGTGTCACCCCCAACCCCTTGCACACCACATGCGTGCAGGTGGTGCTTTTGTTCACACCTGTGCCAAGAGTCGGTCTCTAACCTGACGTGGCTTTGAGTCCTGTGCATTCGGGAGGCTGGCACAGGGCACCTTTCTCTCCTGAGTGTGGGCGCACGCGTGACCAGAGTCCATCGCTCACGACAAAAAGGGTGGTGCTTCAGGCCCGGGGGAGGCGAGAGAGTGAAGACCGCACCAGGGCCCTGTGCCTCGGGATCATGGCCGGGCAGGGGGGGGCCTGGGTGTGTGCGTGTGAGGCCCACACAGTGGGTCTCACGGCCCCCCGCCAGCCTCCTGCTCAGAACGCGCGCCGGGGCCTGGCGGGTCACCGCGCCCCAAGACGCTCCGCCCTCCCCGGGCCCCCACGCCCCGTCCACGGCTGGCAGCTCGCCGAGGGCCGTACCTTATTCTTGCTGCTCTCACACGACTGGAGGCTGGCCAGGATCTGGCTCTCGATGGCTTGGACCCACGCGTCCCTCTCTTCGTACGTGGTGGCCTCGAAGTGCCACGTCTGACCAGTGAGGGACACGATGATGAACTCGAAGTTTTCCTCATGCTCTGAAACACAGAGTGGGGTGGGGGTGAGAGTCTGGCTTTGGCGCGACGGCGGCCCCTCCACCAGGCCTCCGTCGGAAGAGCGGCCTTGGGCTCCATCGTGGCCGCACGGGGCTGGCGGCCCGGGGAGCTCGGAGCCGAATCCACAGACCCCCGAGCACTCACAGTCTGGCCCCCGCAGCCAGCCTGGCGCGGCCAGGTTTCCGTCCCCGCCTGGGGGGCGAGGAAAACGAAAAGCAGCGTGTGACGTTGGCGTCTCCCTGCTGGGCGCAGGCGAGGTGACTCGGGAGAGTCCCAGAGCTAACGGACTACTGCTGGCCCCCGTGTCTGCGGGGTGCACACCAAGTCAGAGCCGCTGATCTCAGAGTAAAGCTCTCACTGCGTGTGAGCACTGGTGGACCACCGCAGAGGGCGTGCGGGGTTCCGGGAGGGCGCTCATCCCACTGTCCCCAGACTGGGAGAGACGGCGAGTCCCGGGAGACTTGAAGGCGACAGTCTGGACCAGGAGGAGGAGTCGGACTTGCGTCAAATCCTGCTGGGTCGGGTGCCCCTTGGGCTCCTTGAGCAAGCCCCGGGCCCTCGAGGCCCCTTCCTCACCCCCACCACGGGGGGAAAGGCCCCCCGCCGTGCAGCGCCCCCACTGGCTAACCGACCCGTGCTAACTCAGGCAGACGCGGGGCCACCCTGTAACTGTCAGCGTCTGCCCTCTGTCCTCACGACCCCGTCCCTGCCGCAGAAGTGAGCGCGGCGGCGGCACACGGACGCAGCGTACATAACCCGCCACAAATAACCGCCGGAAGCCCCCACTGGGCTCGCAGGCCCACAGCTCATCCGGTTCCGAGCTTCCAGTCACTGGGCCGTGAAGTCGCTGCTGCATCACCTGGTGAGCAGTTGTTATTAGTGACGGTGATGACCTGCCGACCTGCCCAGGTGACCACGGCCGCAGTTCATTATCCTCTCAGCTGTCTGCCCGCCGCCACACAGCTCACTCCCCTCTGCATGGGCCCCGTGCTCTCGGCTGCCCGGCACCCTCGCCCCACGTGACCCCTGACCTCTGCTGGGCTCCCTGCTGCTCTAGGGCTCTCGAGACCCTACCTCACCAGGAGCCCTTGACCTCCAGACAAGGATGCTCACTCAGCTCATCTCCGAAAAAACCACAGCCATGACCTGCCACCCTGCCCCCTTCCCAGCAGTCTCAGCAGAGGGCAGCCCCCACTCCGTGCCTGAGACGCCTCCACGTGACCCACTGCCCCTAGGGGGGTGGGGACAGGGCCCAGGAAGGGGATGCTCATGCCCTTGCTAATGCCCACTGGGCCTGGGTAACTGCTTCCCTAAAGCACCACACGTCGCCACGGAAGCCAGGCCGGGACCCCTTTGTGCAAAACCGTGGCGCCGCACCCTGATGACGAGCACTGTGCTCCACGCAGAAGACGCGTCACTGCGCTTCCAGGATCTGACCGCCTGGTCGGTGGGGCTTAGAGCTGTGGAACCTGCTCTGGGGGAAGGGTCCCCGAACACAGGGAAGGCAGGCACCTCCTTCTGTGAAACTGCCGTGGGTTTTCGTGCTCCTTTCCAAGCGCACCGGCCCCCCCAGATCTAGTCTACGGCTGCTCACAAACCTTCAAACCACTCCCCCGGCCCCGCCCCGGTTCCTCCTTCCGGTCTTGGACAAAGGCTTCCTCGCCCTGCAGCATCCGTGTTGCGGAGCCTTCCTGTCTCCACTTTCAGCAGTTCTTCCCACCCTCAGAGCTGTCCCCGGACGGGACAACTTCTGGACTCCACTCCCTTGAGGTCAGAGGGAGCCTGGGGGGCATGTGGCACCTTGAAGATGAGCGGCACGGCCCTGTCAATTCTGACACGCCATGGGAGTGACCCACGACGGCTCGTAACTCCTTCCTAGCTCCCCATGGCGCAGGACCCTGGCTGAGGGTGCCCGGGCTGGCTCCGGCTCTTGGAGAAGGGCAGTGACCGTTGATTAGCGGTGTCTGCCCTGGGGTGGCGGGGGCACCCCTGCAGCCTGCCCGCCGCCTGCTCACCCTGCGCACCTCGAGTGGTCTTCCTGGCCTTGGAACCACTTCTGACACCTGAGGACAGCCCTCGAATCTCTGTGCCTGACCCCCACATCCCATCATTCGGGGATCTGAAACATGCACAGAGACAGTCCTCGGATACTTGGTCCTCACATCAAATTAACACGCGCAAACCAGACCGGCGGCAGTCCTCACGGCCTCCCGCTCCTGGCTGTGGAGCTGGTTTGGGTCGGAACACTCCAAAACCACCCAGATGCCTCCGTCTTCCCACCGCCGTCTGCCCGGTGCCCATGCTGCTCACCAGCACCCCTGGCCCACACCTGCCTCAGATTGCCTAGCAACGACACACAGGACACGGCGGGGCGGGGCCTCCCCTACAAAATGTGCTCTTCATTGTGTTGCTACAACCGCCCACATAAGGCATAATGGCTGGACCCCAAGCCCACACTCTCCCCCCACCCAAACCACACCCATGCGTCAAGAAACCAGAACTGTGAGAATGAGGGGCCGAGTGTCTCCGAAAGGGAAGGCGACCACAAGGCGCGGACGCTTGGGCGGCTCAACAGATGGAACCGTGGTCGGGTGCCAGAGGGAACCCCGACATCCAGCGGCCCCGAAGGAGCGGGGCTGTGGGGGCCTGGGGCTGCTGAGCCCCGGGGCTCCCGGCGAGCCCTCGGAAGGCAGCCGCTCCAAACACGCCCGCCCACGTGGGCCGGAACCGAGCAGACGCACAGGAACCAGGACAGCGGACTCGCATCTAAGCATTACAGATACAGGGAAGGGGTGTTTCTTCATTGGAGGGATGCGCAGGGTCCACAAAATTCCAGCCCCGGGCCCCCCCGACGGCGCGGCCTCGAAGTCCTGGCAAGGCCATGGCCGCAAAGGAAGGGGCGTCCCGTGGGTCCCTGCGTGACCCTCTAGGGCCCGCTGTGCCGTGAAGTCCTGTGACTGGGCTCCCGGGATGTGAACCGTCTCCCGCGTGTCACGGTCGGCCGTGGCCAGGTCCACCATAACAGTATTTTAGCGCCATGAACCTGTCGAAACCAGCCTTCCCAATTATTCCCAACGACATTAATAGTCCCGGATATTACACTAATTGCGTCCAGTTTCTATGCAGACGAGGCCCCGTGGGGCTCATTTCGCCTCCGCAGGGGCCGGCGACTCCACCGTCAGACGGGTTTCAGGAGGAAGCCTTCCTCATTACGCAAGTCCGGGCTGTCAAACTTTTTTTTTTTTTAAAGGTTAATGGGCCAATCAGTCATCAATTATTTTCGCGGGATCCTAGCAAAGGGTTAAAGGGCTCAAAGCAGCTGCAACCGCTTCACGGGCGGAAGTTGTCTCCAGCAGGAGGCGGCGGCCGAGGATGCATTTTGGGGGTTAGGGTGCAAGTAGAGACGGGACGGACAGACGGACGCATCCGGCGGTCCTCGGGGCGGTCCGGGGAAGAGGAGGACTGCCTGGCGCTTCTGCCGAGGTCTCGAGGCGCCAGACCCCCGCGCCCAGCTGGGGCGGGCAGGCGGGCAGGCGGCTCACAGATGTCCGCGAGAAGCGCCCAGCAGTGTACCCAGCGACGGCGCAGAGGCCTTCCTCTTCAGAACCGAGGACTCGCCGCGTCTGCAGAGACCGCCGTCCACAGCCCTCGTGGACCCGAGGCGGAGGCTGAGCCCAGGGCGCCCCACGCACCCGGAACCCAGACCCCCGACGTATCTGAGGGTGAACACATAAAGAAGACAGGCGGGTAGACGCGTCTACTTGCGGAGGTGACGCACAGGACCCCGAGTTGGCTTCCACACGGTCACGGTTAAGAAATGACCTCCTGGCGAAGGAGCCAAGGCCTGCAGGAAGCAGCCCCCCTCTCCGCTGCGGACCTCCCCTGTTGCGCAATGAGGGCATGTGTCTTGGGGACTCGACAGCGCCCCCACGCAAGTGTGTAAGGCAGCTCGAACCCTGGGCCACGCTGTTTTCCCTCATTAACACGTCAGCGTTGCCAGTGGTGTCTCCCAGCCCCCGCCCGAATCCCCACATCGCTGTCCTTCTGATCCTGGGCGTCTGCTCTGGGTGCCCCTTAACTGCACACACCTGCCTCTCCTACCTGGGGCCCCGAGTCCCACCCTCATGCGGTCGGCGTGCCTGCAAGGGAAGCTGCGGCCGGCCTGGGATGACCAGGGTGTGCCGGCCCTCCCTCTCTCTGGCAGGAAGACATTCGTTCACAGCCAGTCCCGGGGAGCCTGGTGCAGCCTCAGGATCCTTCTCAACCCAAGCCTCCAGGGAAGCACCGCCAATTTGCCAGCGGGAAGCCGAGACGCAATGTGTTCGCTAGGTCTGCACCAATCTCGGCCCCTCCCCGCCCCCACCCAGGGGACAGGGAGGGGCGCCCGCAGCCCCGGGCTCTCCTGCCAATGGTCTGCGCCCTGCATTCGGCACACACTCCAGGGTTTCTGCTGTGAGAGTGCACGCTGCAGAGGAATGTGGTTTAGACACTTGACTCAGTTACGATGGAAACCACACACATTTAAGACTTCAGTCAAGACCCGCGGTAATGGAAAAAGAAAATATTTTCAACTTCTCTTCAATTTCTGCAGTAAAAGGGAAACTCGAAGGAAACTGGAAGAGTGCGGACCGAGACCGTGCGGAAGCACCACCTCAGTGCACCCCTCCCCCTCGAGAAAGTTGCTTATTTTGGACGGAGAGAGAAAACTGCGTCTGGTTGCCACACAGACATGCAGCGCCTGGTTCTCGGGTGAGCACCTCTGCGGGCCGCGAACTCCGTGAGCGTCTCTGTCCAGGACGGGCAGGGTCGGTGCGGTGCAGGAGCCGGTCCTCGGGGGCGTGGCGCAGAGTCAGGAACGCCCCCTGCCCAGTGTGGTTGCAGGGGGGAGGTTCTCCCCAACACGAGGGCGGTTTGTGTCTTCCGGACACGCCGGCAAGGGCTGGGACAGCCGTGTGAGCGCCGGGCGGCCGGCAGCCCCAGCCCGCTAGACTTGCCTCCCAGAGCTGTGGGGTGCCACGCACTTCTTAAATCGAGGGGAGCATTTAGAAGCTCCTGAAGCAAGAAATCCTCGGATCCAAAGCTGAAAACACATCTCAGGATGCGGAAGATGGGCGTGTCCACACTTTCCTGGCACTTGCCTGTGGTCTGTGCTTTGCGTTTAGCGAGAGAAGCTAGAGGCATCCTTCTAATTCACGCAGCGGCTGGGCGGTGCCCTGCTGCTGTCACTCACCCTCACTCCCAGCCGTCACTTTGCAGAGTCAGATGTGGGCTGGGCCCCGTGGGGCCGGCCCAGGGCTTCTTCCTCTGCTCGGAGCCCGGCGTGGGCATCGGGAGACTCGGCCGCCCAGGGGCCCGTGCAGCACTTGGGTGGATCAGTACCATCTTCTGGAAAGTGGGGGGCTGGGAGGGCCCGGCGATCTTCCTTCTCTCCCCCCAAAGTCGGTGCTGGAGTCACTTCCCGTGAAAAGGGTCCCAGGTCTGCACTGACGCCAGTCCGTGCGGTTCCCACGGGCCGGGGCCTCCTTGCCAACTCCTCCCGACCCGGACGCGTCTCGTGGGCCTGGAGCACGGCTCCAGGTGTGCCCTCAGAGCTGTTTCTGCGTCACCTGCGTCTCTGTGACAATCTAACATGGACGCTGTGGACCCTGATGCACGGGCCGGGCTCCATGGAGAGGGCTTTGCAGGCCTTGCCCAGCCTCTTCAGGTACGCTTCGGGGCAGGTGTCACTGTCTCCTGTCGGGGGAAAGGGCCCCGAGTGGGGAAGACGAGACGCGGTGACCTCAAGACCCGCAGAGCGGCCCGTCGGAGTGCAGAGGGAGCCACAGCCTGGGGGAAAGCGGCTCGCCTGCAAACCCCCTGGCACCTGGGACGGACACCCCCTGTCGGATCGCCCTGCTCCTGGCTCTGTGAGTGACCCTCAAGGATCACTTCGAATGGCAGGAACGTGCGCGGCCCTCCAGACACGAGGCGGGTACCACCAGTGGCAGGCAGGGGGCGCTGCGCTGCACGCCTCTGGATATTTACTCCCGTCTGGCCATCCCCGCAGCAGGGGGCATGTCCCCAGTGTACAGGTGGGGAAACTGAGGCACAGAGTGCACATTCAGTGGCCGGCCTGAGGCGAAGAGGTGGGGGTGTGAGGGGTGGACCAAGGCCGCCTGGGCACAAACCACTGTCCACACCGCCACTCACACATGCAGGGTTTGCTGCATTTCTGATCAAGAACCACCGTTTGACGGGGAGGAGGAGACGGGTGAGTGAGGAGGAGCCTCGTCCGAGTGTGGAGGGCAGTGGGGGTGGGGCCCCTGGGCCATCGCGGGAGGGGCTGCATTCACACACAGGGTGGGGGGCCCTTCGGAAGGATAGCTCCACTGGCCACGCCCGCGGGGCCGGGACTGCTGTCTGCTGGGCATCGGGGCCCCGCTCCAGCCTACGTGGGCCCCATGCTCGCGACTGCCCACGGCCAGGGCCTGGGCGGCGGCGCGGACCCCAGAGCCCAGCCTGGTCCCCATGTGCTCTCCAGGGGCTCCTGACCGCCCTTCTCCCTGCCTGGGCCTCCTTCTGTAAAACGTGGAGATGGGTGACGGCTTCCCTCAGAGGTGTCCAGGGAGCCGCAGGACGGGAAGCCAGGAAACCGTGCCTCCTGCCGAGTCTCGTCGTCCACGGAGCCTCCCCGGGCCCGCCGTGCGCGTGCTCCAGAAGACTCGCTCCCCCACGGCAGGGCCCGCGTGGAACGGCAGGGCCCAGGGACCCCGGGACCCCAGTCCATCTCTGCAGCAGGAGGGAAGCACCCAGAACAGAGGCGTCCCAGGCCGGTCTCTGGGGCAAGGTCCGGACCCACAGGAAGGGTCCTCTCGGACGGCCCAGATGGGGACTTCGGGCCGGCCTCACCTCTGTCCTCTACAGCGTCCGGCAGCCCCTTCGACCCAGTGTGGGTGGCTGACATCCCAGACGCCCCTTGTTCCCGAGGGCGCCCTCTCTCCTCCCCGCTGACACGCTCGCTTCTGTAACAGCAGGGAGTCCACCTGCTCAGCCCACGCACACAGCCACGATCCCCGGCCCTCCGGCAGCTGTGCGGGGATGGTGTGGCCTGAGGACAGGCCCCTGGGCGCGTGCGACCCACCCCGCAGTCTCTCGGGGTGGCGGTGGGCTCCCCGCCACGGCTCCTTCTGCACAACGTCGCCCTTTGGTTCAGTTCTCTCGCTTCTTCCTAGGAGGCATGTTCACCAGGGACCTGGGCCTCCCTCAGTCTCCCAGCACCCAGGCCAAGACGGCTTCCCCTCGGGGTGGGAGGCAGCTGCGGACCCGGGAGTCCCACCCCACAGGCCCCGGAGACGGACACACGGAGGCTTGTTCTTGCTGGAGGAACTTAGGAGTCCACCCACCTTGGGAAGGAGCTGAACTCTTATCAAGTAACAAAGGTTTAAAAACTAGCGCAGTATTATACATAAATAATGTCTCCGCCTTGGTATCACAGACAATTAGCCTGAGTGCACAGAAAAAAGCAAAAGAGGACGTATGTTTGTCTGTTTTCTGGGCTTGCAGGTGTGTCTCCCCGATCCGTCCGGTTCCATCTGTCTCTCCGCTCCCGGCAGCCACGCGAGGCCTCGGTCCCGACAGGAGTTAGCAGCTCAGGACGCGCGTTCCCATAAGCAGTCTGTCACAGACAGGATGCCGCGGGGCGACACCCGTCCGAAGGCGGGCGATCGGGGAGGCACTCTGAGCACCTGCGTGAGCGCACGGCTGCAGTGACAAACTACTAAAAGCCGTGGGAAACGAGATTGTGCGCGTGCAGACGTCAGTCTTAACGGAGACCCAGAGGGAGTGGAGAGGGGGCGGGTCGCTCACAGCCGGAGATGCGCAAATGCGACTGAACCCCGGACAGACACGAAAGAGGAGGTGAGGGGAACCGGCTTCGGGGTCATCCCTCAGTCCGCTGTCCCCAAGGCCGCCTTTGGTAGCTGTTGGCAATCGACTGAGAGGCCCCAAGTTTGCAGGTTTTGGGGCGGCTTGCGTCACGGTCCCTCCCCACCCGGGATGCCCGGCAGGGCGGGCAGGGCGGGCACGGCAGGCTACCTGACCGGTCGAGGCTTCGAAGGCCCCACTTTTGCGCATCTGGAGCCTGGGACGAGCTCCGGCCCACCAGCGTCCTGGGCAGCTCCGTCAGCACATCTCGGGGGGACCTCTGCCTCCCCCCGCCCCACCCCGCCCTCCACGTGCAGCCCCGTGCGGGACCGCGTGCCACGGCTCAGGTGTCTAGGCTGGAAGTCGGTGACCAGGTGTGTGGTGATACATGCGCACACGTACAGAAGGAAACACATCTGATCTGAACACAGTGAAATGATATGCACCTGAAGCTGAAAAACCGACATGCAAATAGAGTGAATGAGTCAGTATCCTTGAAAACGCAACAAAAACGACGCTGAATGGGACTGGTTCTAAGGGAAATTCTATCCCTTTTGCCTCTCATCGTGTCTTCCGTGAGTGCTCTGTGGGAAGAACCCATGAGGGCTGAGCTCCACAGGCACCTTAGCAGAAGACGACTTCCCCTTGAGGAACGGAAAAAAATTCACGATGAAAATACTGGTCTTTAACAAGGCGGCAGGGAAATGCACTTTTGTTTTTCGGATTCATCTGCTTTTCTGGCCGCGGAGGGCAGGGCGCTCCGCGGCGAGACCGGAGTTGTCGGGGAAGGAAGGAGAGGAGGGCGGCGACATAAATCAGCGAAGGTTAATGGCCGGGATGCCAGGAGAGGGACTTGTTTACAGAAACACCGTGCAATTTAAAATTTACAAGAGATTTAATGCCACCGCTCGGCAATCGCTAAAGTCAACAGCCCAGAAAACGGTGACATTAAGAAAAATATTACAGTTATAATCATCCCCAAATAAGTCAATTAGCGTTAGGGCGCGAGCCTGCGAGTACTTGACCCATTCGGCACTTAAGTGAAAAAACGAGACGCCCCCCCCATTAACGCCGCGACTGCAGGCGCGCGGCCTGTTTTGCATGGCGCGACGGGGCGCCGCCTCCTCCGCGGGGCTCCGGCGGTGGCGCGCCTCCCCCCTCTGCCTGGCATCGAAATAATCCTGACCCTCGACATTTGTAATCAGAAAAAAAAAAAAAAGGCAATTTATAATTGTGTTGTTCAAATGAAGGCGGGGGAAAATTCAATCTGCCATTATACAAAAGCAGTGACGGCTGTCTTCGCCGCAAAGAAGCAACGCGAGTCAATTTGTGAACTTTGGCACCGGACGACCTTTAGAAACACAACAGTACACTGAATTTACAAGCAGGAGCAGCCCATGCAAATGACCCGGGCCGGCCGCCTCTGGATCGGAGCTGCGCGGAGCATTATGGAGAATGCGTCCGCAAAACAAATTAAGACTGTTACTTAAATGTCACGGCACACTATTGTATTTGGCTACAGATCATTACACCTGATACTAACACTTTTAAAAACTGTAATAACTTGGGAAATATTACATTGAGTGCCCACATGTATAAAGCAAAAGGAAAAAAAAGGAGAAAATAGGTTTCTGAAGTAATTTAAACATCACTAGTCTACGACTGGAGGGAAAGGTCAAAATTTAAGTAAGCTGAAAGGAACACGAATGGTAAACTGAAACACACACACAGAAGATGGAGGGGCCACAGGGACGAATCTGCCAACACGACACGGGTGCATGCGGTGTGGGGCTGCACTTCCGCGGCTGCGCGGCGGGGGGCGCTGGCGGGGCCCGGGGGGCGGGGCGCCGGCGGGCGCGGAGGAGGAGGGGCGCGGCGTTACCTTCGGTGTTGGTGCTGCTGCTGCTGTATATATTTCGCAGGCTACCAACACGGTTTAGTTTCCACGCTTTGCGTTTGGCTGCATCCCGAGAGCAGAAAGGGGAGAGGGGGAAAGAGAAAACAAAAAGGAGAAGAAATCAAATGAAAAGGGGAGAAAAGAAATGTCATAGTAGCACGTGACGTCACCTCCATCAGCTCCCGAGAGGCAGTGGGCGCTGGTGGGTCCCCGCCAGCCCCCGCTCCCCCCACCCCCCGCCCGCCGACGGCTGGGGAATCTCGGGCAGGGCCACTGGGGCAGGGTGGAGGTGCGCCCGGTTAGCTTTGCGCCAGATCAAACAGACGCCCGGCATGGAAGCCCACGCACCCACCGGTCCCCCTGCTGGGTTTTCCACGTGGCTACGCCCAACAATGCAAAGCTGGCCTTTTCCTTGGAGCTGGTGGCATCTTTTGAAGGAGCTACAGTGCCAGCAGCCATAAGCCCTTCGATTTGGCAAAATGGGGCAGCAGGAGAGAGCAAGAGACCCTGGAGATGGGCAGCCCCTGGGGTGTGCGGCCGGGTGGAGGCCTTCACACCCAGAGCTGCCGCCAGACGGAGATCGTTTGCCCCCCCGACGCTGCTGGGCCTGGACAGTAACCCACGGCAGCACGAGTCTGCTACCATCTGGCGGCTGTTGAAGGGCGGCGCCCCTTCTTTCGGGGCTGTAGGAGGCTCTGGATGGGGCTCCGAGGACCCCAACGAGCACACAGGCATCCTTCAGCACTCAGGTCGCTGAGGAAAGCGTCAGAAAGAAAAACCAAACACTAAGTTACCCGCAGAGGACCCCTGGGTCCGGACGTCAAATGCAGAACCAACTCAACGCGGGCAGAGCCGGTCCCCATGCCCCAACACGCTTCATTGGCCCCCACCCTCCCAGCCACCCCTGGACTCAGGGCGCACGGTCGGTGCAGTACCCTAACCAGACTACCTGTCTCTCTCCACTCCCATGACCAGGAAGAGAAATCAGTCAGACCTCCCACTGGGCTCTTTTTGGATGACCCTGCGCCCAGTGTAGGCAAGGGGCGCTCACCTGGGGCTGGAGGGGGGCATCTGGAGCTCACGGCACGGAAACACACCCTGCGGTGGCCTGCGGTCAGGACTGACGCCGGCCCACTCTTGACGCAGGACGCGCTGGCTGGGCCTGCCGGCTGTGGGCTCCGAGCCCGAACACTCAGCCTTGCAGCGTGCGGGTGCGCTCTGGCGCGCCAAGTTCGAAGGCCCAGGGCGAGGGCCGGGTCGCCGTGAGCAGTTCCGCCGCTGGCGTGAAGGGCGAGCACTAGGGGCGCACCGCATTTCCTTGGAGTGACGACATGAAATGCACGCAGGACACACGGACGTTTCAGGAAGCAAAGGCAACTCTGCAACAGCACAGCACTGCGTATTCAGGGGGCGAAGTTCATGTAATGATGAGAAGACGAGCTAGCTGTCGCGTCCTCGTCACCTGATTTAAAAAGTTAAGCTTGAACTAAACACCTAAGAGTTACTGTGTAGCTTGAAAGCAGCAAATAGGGTCATAAGAAATGTACCCTGTGAACCAGCAGGCACTGAAGTCTGGTGACGGAGGCCCCTGTGCAGTGCATGGGTCTAAGTTTCCTTTTCCAGGGGCAGAGAGGTGTCCCTCATCCCTGCCTCCTCCAGGCCTTTATAAGGTACCCGCCCCGGAGACGGCACCCTGGGAGGGGGCTTCGGGTGCCCTCCAGTACAGACGGCAGGCCTCAGAGACCGGGCACCGATCGAATGCATTTCAAGTGTTTCTTTTAGAGAGAGCTGCTCCGTGCACCACCGCCAGGCTCCTCAGGCACGATCGGGTGTTCCCAACCGAAGTCCGAGCTCCGTCACCTCAGTCGCTGAAGCTCTGGCTCGCGGGCCCGGAACTCGCAAGTTCGGAAAGTCGCAGCCACTGAGTCGAGCGGCTGCACCCCTCACCTGAAACTTGCCTCGGTGCCACATTTACATATAAATAGGCAGAAGGGAGGCCTGGCCCTCGGAGGAGGGAGCGCGGAAGAGGGGGAGCTGGGGCCAGCAAACCTCCTTCCCACCTGCTCCATGCCCTCCATTTTTCACACTCCGCTCTGCGCTCACCGCGCGGGTGTCCCGGCAGGAAGTGAACCCGCGGCCCCATTTTCCATTAACACTGATGAAGTAATCAGTTTCAACGTGCAAAGCCTCACGCCTTTTTGTGCTCCTCCGACAGATGGCCGTCTTCCGGCTGAAACCAGGGTCCCGGTCTGTGCATCTGTCTCCGGGGCCACTGATTGCTCTGCGGCCACGTGTGCAGGAGCCTTTCAGCGGGGACACACAACCGCACGGCCATCGGTAACATCTCAGGGTCCGGGCGCGTGGCTGCCCGGGTCCGCCTCGAGGGGAGGCGGAGGGGCGCCGCCCAACGGGGTCGGCGCTCCGACCCCAGGTTGCCCCTCGGGCCTTCCCACCGGGCAGTGCTTCTCACGGGCTGCGGGTGGGCTGGCTCGGGAGTCTACGTTTTTCTGGCTCATCTTTGTTTTTGCTGAGAAATTTAGTTTTTTAGGAAACAGATTTTAGGAATATAGTTTCTTCCATTTGAACATAGGCTAACTTATTTTGATTTTTTTCACTGTTATTTATTTTTCACAAGGACTATTTACTCTTTTTCATCCTTTAAGTCATCCTCACCCCTAGGATGTTTATTGATTTTAGAGAGAGAGGTGGCGGGGGCGGAGACGAGACAGAGAGAGAGAGAAACACTGATGTGAGCAACACCGACAGCTGCCTCCTGTGCCAGGGATCGAACCCCCAACCATCTGGCGTGCGGCCCGTGCTCCAAGCGGCTGAGCCAGCCGAGCAGGGCACGAGAACTGCAACTTTAACATTGGAACGGCACCTGCTACCGGACAGAGAGGCAGCGGGGTGCGAGCGCCGTGTGAGGGTTTTCCGCTCCACCACGGCGCTGACCCGGTGAGCGGCGGCCTCCCCGGCACAGGGCGCCGGTCCCGGTACCCACTGTGGCTGCCTCCTGGCTCCGTGTGCTCCCAGACGTCTGCGAATGCACGTGCAGGCCACGACGGACACAAACCCCACGGCGCACCGTCTCAGACCCGGTGCAAACTGACCGTCGGCCCGAGTGCAGACGGCGAGACCCATCTCCCCTCACTTACGCCCGCAAGTTCCCTGGAACTCTCCCTCTCTGAACGCCGGCCCAGGCCGGCAGGAGCGCCAGCGGGCCGGGGCGCAGGAAGCCACTGGTGGGACAACGCTCTCTCCCTGTGCCGGCGCGGGTGCCGCAGGAGGCCCAGCGCCCTTGGTGGGAGACCAGGCTGCTACGTGAACGCCGCAGCACGCGGTGGCCTGGGGGACAGCCGACGGTGGACACACACACAGGCAGAAGGGCGTGAACCTCGTCACCGCCCTGGCTGGAGGGCGCCGTCTGCAGGTCAGAAGGGCCGGGACTTTGGAAGGGGCAGGGGGAGATGGCACGGAGACCCAGCCCCACACTGCCAGATGACCCCTGCGGCGGCCGCGGAGGAGCGGCGGTGGTGGTGCTGCCGCCGGTTCACCCAGGGAGCGAAGAGCGTGCTCACACACGCCCACGGCAGGGGCTGGCGGCCAGCGCTGGACTGCAGAGAGGAGAAGGGACGGGACCGGGCACCTCTGGCACCAAAGCGCTAACGGGGACAAGGACACTGGCAGATGAACTTGGGACACTGTGTGATGCAGCCCCTTCCTGAAAGCGGCCGCCGAGGCCCACGTTCCAGGACTGGTGATTTCCCGGTACTGGGCCCGCAGACTGTCGGGCGGGGCGCTGCCACCCAGCTCCTGCGGTCTCAAGGGCTGCCCGTCCTGAGCCACGCACGGGAGCAGCAGGGCGGGGTGGGCTCTGACTCACTGCACGCTCCTTCTCGGTGCCTGGGAGCACCGACGGGACCCCCGCGCCCCCGGGCTGGCCAGACGAGGTGAGGTGCGATCCACTCCCCCGGTAATTACTAACAGTCCTGGCTTCTCACAGGAGACCAAGGAGGGGCAGGAGAAACGCGCAAGTGACGGCTTTGTGCTAAGTCAGAGGAGCTGGAATCACTTAGCGTTAACGACCCCCAATTACGGCACATCGCCCAATTTCGTGGAAGCTACAGCTTTTCATGTGAGTTCACGCGACACTCACAGACGACTTAAAGTTTTACTTTAAAGGAAACTTTCTCTTGTTTCTCTAAGCAAAATATATTTTTTTCCTTCCTACAGCCTGGCAGTGCCTGAGGACTAGGCGCGGTCAGCAGACCACCGCCCGAGACCCCCGACCAGCGCGCTCTCACTGGAGTGGGGACGCCCCTCGGTCGGCCGGCAAGCCCGTGGGCGCGAGCAGGGCTCCATCCCAAACTCCCCCCCTCTGTCACGGCACCAGAAGACCGCAGACTCATGTCCCGGGCCCCCCAGCCTCCTCCTGACAGCGCTCCCTGTTGATCAGGTAAATACCCCTCAGGTGGCTGGTAAGAACATGCAGCCCCGAGGCCCCGCGCCCCAGCCAAGGCCCCCGCTGCCGCTCCAGGGTGCGTGAACCACGTTGCCGGGGAGCCCCGACCAGGCGGCAAGGGGAGGCCCTGCAGCCCCCAGAAGCAGTTCGGAGAACCAATAGGGTCTTTTTTTACCTCTGAGGAGGGGGCTGGGTGGAGAGGGTGTGCCACTCACTTCTAAGAACGTCTCACCTGAGAACGAAACCCTTACCGCCCCCCCCATTCATTCTGACGGGCGTGCATCCGCACCTCCTGGAGCGGTGAGTCCCCACTAGGCAGAGAGCGGGGTTTCCTTTCGGCCTGGAGACGTGCTGGGCGCAGAGCGGGGGTCCGCATGCACCTGGAGCTCCCCGGGCGTTTCGCTCCGACCTCGGGAGCGTGCGCCTCCCGGCGGGGACCGGGGAGTGACCTGGGCGGGGCACACCCCTCTCGGTGGGTGGACCTGCAGTGCGGGCTCTCAGCTCAGCTGGCTCTCAGGTGCGGACTGGACGCTCGTCAGTGAGGGGCGGACACTCTCCTCGTCTGCAGGGAGTCGCCGCTCGTTTTGGGAAGGGAGAGCTG